TGAATTTATTCAAACACATGCAAACTGGACCTCTCTGTAGTCATGGTAACCAGTGTGACACACACACAAACAAACACACACCCGACCATCTGCCCACACACACACACACACACACACACATACACAGCAGTGATGTGGTCCGAAGCTGTCAGCTGTTGCTTAGTAACAGCTGATCTGCAGTCCAGCTGAACTCGGCAAAAGTTAAATTTTCATTAATTTCTTATTTTTGCTGATGTTAAAACTGACATTTTCTCCACCCTGGAAACAATAATAAAGGTTAACAATTTGGTAACTAACACACACACACACACACACACACACACACACACACACAACCCACACATCTCCAGGTGGGTGTGAAGACTCAGACTCCTTGCAGGAAAGATGAAGATAATGATGTGATGATGAAGATGATAAAGATGGTAATGATACTGGCGGTGATGATGATGATAGTTATGATGATGATGATGATGATGGTGATGATAGTTATGATGATGATGATAATAAAAGTTATGATGATGAAAGCTATGATGAAGATGATGATGATGATGAAGTTGATGGTGATGATGATGATGATGATGATGATGATGGTAAGGATAGTTATAGGGGTGGTGATGATGAAAGTTTTGATGATGATGATGATGATGATGATGGTAATAATAGTTATGATAATGATGGTGATCATAGTTATGATGGTGATGATGGTGATGATGGTGATGATGGTGATGATGATAATGATGACGATGGTGATGATAATGGTGATGATAGTGATGATGATAGTGATGGTGAGGATGATGATAGTTTTGATGATGGTGATGATAGTTATGAAAATTACAATGATGATGATAGTAATGGTGATGACGATGATCTTTATGATGATGATTGTTATGATGATGATCATTGTTGTGATGATAATGATAGTTATGATGGTGATGATGATGATAGTTATGATGATAGTTATGATGGTGATGATGATTGTTACGATAATGATGATGATAGTGATGATGATTATGATAATTATGATGCAGATGATGATAGTGATGATGATTATGATAATTATGATGCAGATGATGATAGTAATGATATGACAGTTATGATGATGATGATTGTTATGATGATAGTTTTGATGATGATGATGATTATGATAGTTATGATGATGATAGTGATGATGACGATGATGATAGTTATGATGATAGTTCAGTCAGCCATCATGAAAGGCGATAGCAGGGAGTGCATGTGAGGTTGTGTTCGGGGCCCCCCAGTACTCCATGCTGGCATGGGTGAAAGGCCAGCGGCAGGAAGAGCACCTTCCCGCCCTCCACGAGCCTTCATGAAGACAGAGACGGCGTTGGGTAGAGCAGCAATGAAAAAACCCCCCTGGAACAGGAGCGCTTCAAGGGTAGTGGAGCAATTAGCTGGCACAAGGGTGGAGCTCGGGTGCAGTGGGTTGCTGGTTAGCTGCCAAAGCGGAGGAAAAGGCTGGGTTAGTGCAGTTTTAAATAAGGCACTCTATAGGCATAGGGCCAATAGGAGCTAGAAGTGAATCAGCTGACTATCGTCTGGTTGAGGTGGCTACTAGCCATTGGCTGCAGATCAGCACTTAACGTCGTGTCCTGACAGAACTAACGTTATGCTTAATTTCAGTCAGGAACACTTTGTCAAAAAAATTTAGCTTTAGTGTGCAAAGTTAAATCTGGCGGCATGATTCTGTTCCGGGTCCCTGCCCTTCCATGCACTTGCGTGGAAGCCTGAGGCAGGAAGAGTCCCTTCCTGCCCATCACAAGTCATCATGAAAAGCGATAGAAGGGAGCACAGGTTCTGTTCGGGGCCCTCGTTCTCCACACTGGCATGGGTGAAAGGCAGGAAGAGCACCTTCCTGCCCTCCACGAGCCATCATGAAGGCAGAGACAGCGAGGGGGGGGTAGAGCAGCGATGAACAGATTCGTTGCCCAAGCATGAATAGTTATCTACAGAGTATTTCTTTGTATATTTGATATAATTAACATCTATGTGCCAAAGTTATAGGTACTCAAAGTTTTTGGGCTTCTAGAATGTCCCGAGCCTCAGGGCACAGATAGCGTTTGTACACGGCTGACGACCATCCGCCCATGGCTTTGAGGGTGGATACAGGAGCCATCATAGCTGCAGTTGTAGCTGCACCTATGTGAAAGGGATGAGCTGTGTAGCGATCTGGAGGATGTGTGGGCGATCAGCTGAGCTGTCATCTGATTGAGGGCTGGCTTAAGATCAGCTGACTCTAACCTTTAGCTCGACTGTAACCTTTCTGTCCTGCCTGAACTACGGCTATGCTTAATTTCAGTCAGGACTACTTTAGTTAGAATTAATGATTTATGACAAGCAAACATTTTTAAAAATTGGCAGTATGACTCTGTTCTAAGAGTTCCCTGCTCTTTCATGCGCTTGCATGGAATCCCAAGGCTATGAGAGGGAATGCCCTCCCCTCCCTTTCATGTGCATATACGAAAAGCCAAGGCAGAAAAAGCAGCAGCGAATAAATAAAATTAAGGTAAATTAGGATCCCCCAAAACAACCATACCAGACAACCTTTCGACTTTCATGTGCTACATTAAAGTCAAGGCAGGGGGAGCAGCGGCAAAAAAACTAAAAGTCCCACAGAACAACCATACCAGGAAACCCTCCCCAGCTTTCATGAGCTACATGAAAGCACCTACAGGGGAGGGAGGGCAGCCAGCAGCGAGAAACTATGAAGCAACATACCCACCTCCAAAGCTCGCATAGTATTGGTTACCCTCATAACATGATCATGTGATCAGGATTAATGTAATCCATACACACATTTATAATTGGGAATATGCCTAAGAATACAATAGATATGGGACAGAATTATGGAGCAGCAGCATTTTTTAAAGCACTCGTAGCTAATTGAGCACAGGAATATTCTTTAGCCTCAGACCTGAGGTATCATTCAAAGGCTGATCAGGACCACCGACCCGTAGCCTTGAGTGTCAAGACGGGGACAATGGAAGATGCAGTTGTAGCTGCCCTTATGCATGGTGAATGCGTAGAGTTGTACTCGGGTAGGAGCCAGCAGGATCGGCAAAGCAGGCAGAGGTGAGCAGAAAACCACAATCTGGATATAGATTTCCCTTCTACAGTGGCAAAGAGAGACTCTTGCTGGCTGACCACTGGCCGGCCTCTCAGGCAGGAGGACGTGGAGGATAAAGAACAAAGACAGAGATAGTTCGAGAAATATAAAAAGGTGCAAGATTCAAAACAGTGGACTGTTAAAGCACATACAATGGATATATTTAGGGCGTTGGAGCTACAAAGAAGGTGGTACAAAAGAGGTAAAGTGAGACCATGCAGAATCGTATAAACTTTAATGCTGATTTTGCTTAACCAGCTCTCATGTAGCTAGCAGCAGAGAGCACTTAGCTTTGCAAGGCTGCACTCAGACTAAAGCCGCTTTTGGTCTTTAAAGACTAAAGACTAAAGCGGCATTCGGGCCACCCCGGCCCCCAGCCCCAGCACCAGCACCAGCGCGCCGACAAGCGGTGGAGCGTCCACAAGCCACGGCGCTTCCGCTGGACCACCTGGACCCAGTGGAAGGGTCCTCACGGAGACGGTCCTGCAATCGCAGGAAGAAATCATCAGGGGGATCGCGGGGATCAACGAGCGGCTGGACCAGCTCGTAAATGTCCTCGAGCGTCTGGTGGAGAAAATAAATTAATTTGGCTCATTGAACTGTGTATTCACTTCTTACCCATTCACATTGTGGTGATGAGATTCTCCCACGCGAGGATGGCGGCCCGGCAGGGATCAGCTCGCATCCCTCCGTCTGCCGCTGGTTCGTCATGTGGGGCGATGTGCTGCTCGGCCACGGGGATGTGGTGCAGGTGTGCCACATTGTGGAGGACGCCACACGCCATCACAATGCGGCACACCTTCTCCGGGCGATACATGAGCACGCCACCACTCCGGTCCAGACAGCACCACCAACCCTTTAACTGGTCGATGGCCCTCTCCACCACTGACCGAGAGCGAGAGTGGAGATGGTTGTACCTCCGCTCTCGGTCAGTGTGGGGGTTGTGGAGAGGGGTCATCAGCCAGGTCCTGAGGGGGTAGCCACTGTCACCTTCAGAAAAAGCACAGTGTGTCAAGTCTTGGGCTTGATGCGTTGTAATAATAGCAAGCAATAAGCAATCGATAACCCACAACATCCATCGATTACTCCCAATCAAACACAGAGTACAATACATCAGTGTTGAACACATTTGGTTCAAGTCACTGATGCACGTCGAGTTTCTTGAATAACATTATATCATTACATATTTACTCACCCAGCAGCCACCCGTCCGTCACTGCACCTGCCTGGAGCCTCTCCCCAACAGTGCTGTTGCACAGGATGTGCGAGTCGTGCGTTGAACCGGGCCACCTCGCAACAATGTTGAGCAGATTTATCTGCGCATCACAGATGATCTGCATCGGACGGCGCTTTTATGGCAACATGAGTGCAGTCAATAGCTCCAATTACGTTTGGGAATTCGGCTATTGCTGCAAATTGCGTTTTAATATTGGCCTGTTCAACCGCACCATAGGGGAATTTGATGTACCTGCGGGAGAGGCGGATCAGCTGGTCCACCACCGTGGGCATGGCCCTGCTGATGGTGGGCTGGCTCACCCCAGAACGGTCCGCCATCTTCCGCTGGAAGGAGCCTGTGGCCAAGAAGCCGAGTGTGCCCAGCACCGTTGGCACGGGCACCGCTCGGCTTCTGGCCGTTGTGCGCTGGAGCGCTGGGCAGAGCTCCTCGCACAGCTGCAGGAGGATGGCCCGCGGTAGCCGGAACCGGCTCACGAGCCACTCGTCTGAGTCCTGGAGCAGGTCCTCCCGCTCCATGAAGTAATTGCACGGTTTTCGATGTCCTCTAGGAGAGCAAGTGCTGCCATTGTTGAAAGTTGTCTTCTCTATTTGTAGTTGCACATGAGTGACGGTTCTTTTATAGCCCCTCCAGTAATGCCGACAGGTGTTCGTGTTTGTGTTAATGTGTTAATTACACATTAACACAAACACGAACACCTGTCTGATTAACAGTAAATCCACTGCAATGTGTGAACGCTTGTCACATAGTGAGTCACCAAACACCGCCACACAGCGGCGCCAAAGTGCCGTCAACGCAAGTATCGGCTCAACGCCAACTTCTACACCACCTCCTCACTTTGCGTGGATTTGCGCTGGAACCGACGCTCGTGTCGAGCTGATAAATCTGGACGTGTGCGCCGATCTTGGTGAATGCAAGGTTTTCTGGCGCCGCCAGCGTTGATACATGAGGCCCCTGGTCCCTTATGACGTGGGGTGCGCGTTCTACAAGGAACGCATCTCCAAGGAGGAAGCATGGGCGAAGGTGGCTCATGATGTTTGGCTTTCTGGTAAGTTTGTTTATTTATTTCAGTGACCAGACTATTTTCTGAAAACATAGCAAACTGCCCCTGCTTGCTAGGCTACATGTTTCAACGTGTGTGTGTGTGTGTGTGTCTTTGCAGTGGATGTGTGCCGCAAACGCTGGAAGGGGCTGCGGGATGTCTACATAAGGGAGAAAAGGAGGGAGAAGGAAGGTGGGAGAAGCGGGTCAGCGGCACCCAGCCGTGTCCTGCGACCTCCGCGACTGCAGCTTTGGACCCGGTGTGAACAACCCAGGGCGCGACGCAATTACAGCAACCAACGCGACTAGGTTGCTTCAAGTCGCGTTTTGTCTGAACGCGGCTTAACTATGCTTCATTTATAATGGTTAATATGATGATAATAATTATGATGATAGTAATGATGATGGTGATGATGATGACACACACACACACATAAGGCTCTATCTTCGTTCTTCGCCGAAGACGTGGCGCAGGCACTGACAAGGCGTTCCCAAGCACAATTTGGTATTTTGGTGAGCAGCGCAGCCCGGCGTAAGTATCCCCGGAGACGTATTAAATATCTTGTTAACTTCATCATGTGTGTCTATTTACTAGATATTTAATTTAATTTAATGTGGTTTCAGCTGTGTTGATTCGGTCAGGTTGTGTGTCCAAACGCATGTCAAACGCGCTCATCAGATTAGATATAAATCAGAATATATCCTTATGGATCTAAATGTATGTGCTGACTCAGATTATTAGTTGTTGTTGATAATTTATTGCACTTAAATGTGCCTGACACTGTGGAAACCTGCCTATGAGGCATCGGTGATGTATGCCGATCCGCTGCCGGTCTACCAAAATGACCACTTGACCAGCTGCACTCTGCCTGTGCTTAAAGCTGACCAGGTTTGAATCAGCGAGCTTTCAGTGCACTTTATATGCCACGAAAATGTCACTGTGCCAGCTGATTCTGTCGACACCTCCCTCTGCCACGCCACCACACCCAGCTTGGCGGACCACGGTGCGCCAGATGAAAATACCACTGCGCGGGGTCTGCCACCCTCCGCCACCTCACTGGCGGACACGAAAATAGAGCCCATAGACACACACACAAAGACACACACGGACACACACACTGTTCTTTCTTTCTCCCACACACATCAACATGTTGTCGATCCCCCCGTCAGAGGAAACTTGTTTCTATTGAATAAACTGCAAATTAGACTGACCCCCCCTCTATCCGTCTTGGCTCACTCTCTCTCTCTTTTCACATTTTCTCCTCTCTTCAGAGGCCCCACCATGGCCTGACACACAGAATGGCCATCAGTCAGACCACACACACACACACACACACACACACACACACATACACATTGAGGGGGAGAGGAGGTCATAAATTGGACAAAAAAGGCCAAAAGGGTTAAATAGCAGCTGATGGATGGATGATGGATGGATGAAGGTATTTGGAGGTTTTTCTGGATGACTAACATCAGCTTGGTGTTTCTGCAGAGTTCACTTTCAGTCATTCTTTCTCACCCCCAATTTCCACCTCATTCTGAACGTCTACGAAAAGGTGGTATCCTCCGATCGTAGCTGATTGTAACCATTCAAGTTAACGTCAATTTCCACCGACTTCTTTCCATTCCTCTGCGAATTGCCAGACTCCTCAGCTGATTCTTCTCAGCCGGAGAATGCCGGTTAAATTCAGCACAGATTAACCCGTGCTGGATAGGAAGTCGGGCATAGACACAAAATAAAACATCTGGCTTCTTTTCAAAATAAAACACTCTTTGTTTCAGGAGGATCGTATTTCACACCATGCAAATGGGCAGAGACGAACAAGTGAAAGGTTTTTAGACGTCATTTCACCCCGATGACACCATGGATGAGGAGATGCTGATTCTGAAGTCTAGAAGTAGATTTCGTCCTCTGGAAGGACATAATCTACTGCTTACATGTCTATGTGTCTGTCTTTATAGAGACAACTCTTTATCCCGGGATTGAACGTGAATCCGTGGGTTCATGTGAGTTCTTGCGATTACTGCTGTTTGTAATCCACCATGAAATTCGCCTCACAAACGGATCCGGTAGGAATTGGCGTACGGTGAAATTCGCCACCGTTCCGGATGTGGTGGAAATTGGAGTACAGGATGAGACAAACAGGTGGTTCTCTTGTTGTTTCTCAGCACTCTCGCAGGTTACAGCAGTAGCATCAAACTGAACATTAAATTAGGATCCTAATTATTCTATTTTAATGACCTTATACTATATATTTTAAAGACTCAGGCATGAATGTGTCTGTCAACATTTCTGTGCTGAGTAAGCTGTTTTTCTCCTCTGAATTTCCCCTTTTAAATCAAATCAAATCAAACTTTATCTATATAGCACTTTTCAGGCAAAAAAAAATACAGCACAAAGTGCTTTACAATCAAAAACAATGAGCCCCCCCATATCCAGCCCGCCACCCCACCCCCCAACCCTCACTGAGAGCCCACCCCAACACACACACACACACACACAGATAATGCAATCTTAAAAGCGTGTGGCTGAGTACGTCAGGAGTAACGTCATGAGGCCGACTGCACTGGAGGCCGCTCACGGCCCATAGCCAGGGCACCTCCACCCGGGTGCGCACCCCGCTACAGGCCAGTAAGAGGCCCACAGCAGCACACAGTGCACACCACAAGGCAGAGAAACCCTAGACAGAACCAGTCACAGCCTCCAGTGCAGGTGGCCCCCCTACTGAGGAAACACTGGAGAAATGCAATAAAAACATAGACTAAATAGGCTAAAAACATCAAACTAGATAAAATTATAAAATACTGAAAAATAGCTAAAATACCATTTAAAAATAATTGAATAAATTGAATAAACATAACATGTCAAATGAGGACTAAAATATATAAATGAAATAAAATAAGTTAAAAAAATAGGATAAAAATATAGATTAAAAAATAAGACATTAGTTAAAAGCCAAATTAAATAGGTGGGTCTTGAGCTTGCTCTTAAAAATATGAACATTCTCTGCGGCCCTCAGGTCCTCCGGAAGGTTATTCCAAAGACGGGGGGCATAGTGCTGGAAAGATGCCTCACCACAAGTTGGTGTTCTCACTTTGGGGACCATTAAAAGGTCAGTGCCAGAGGATCTCAGGGTCCGTGAGGGTTCATACTGTAAAAGCAATTCTGAAAGACAAGAAGGTCCAAGACCCCTAAGATATTTAAAAATGATTAAAAGGACCTTAAATCCTAAAGCACACAGGGAGCCAATGCAGTGATTTTAAAACCGGTGTAATGTGTACTCGCCTTCTGGTCTTTGTCAGCACACGTGCTGCTGAGTTTTGCAACAGTTGTAAACTTGCAATGTTTCTTTTTGGAAGACCAGAAAGCAGGGCGTTACAATAGTCAAGACGACTGGAGATAAAAGCCTGCATTAGTGTCTTTGTGTTAGCCCAGGAGAGGAAGGGGCGCACTCTGGCTATATTCTTTAAATGATTAAACCCTGTTTTTGTTATATTTTTAATATGTGGAATAAAAGTCAGCTCAGAGTCAAAGATGACGCCCAGATTCTTTACCTAATTTGATTGAATTAAAGACAGGGTTTCCAGTTTTGGTAAATGTTTCTCTCCCTGAGCCTTAGGATCGATAATTAAAACCTCAGTTTTGTCCTGGTTGAGCTGTAGGGAGTTTTCTGCCGTCCAAGATTTAATTTCTAGTATACAGCTAAAAAGGGCATCAACTGGCCCTGTGTCATCAGGAGACATGGATATGTAGAGCTGTGTGTCATCAGCATAGCTGTGAAAAGTGATACCATGCCTCCTGATGACATCTCCCAGTGGGAGCATATATAAATTAAAAAGTATGGGGCCTAAAATTGAGCCTTGGGGCACACCACATTTAATGCTACGAATTTTTGAAGAGCATGTGTCCAAACTTACAAGAAACTTTCGATCTGTGAGATAGGAGTTAAACCAGGGGTGGGCAAACTTTTTGACTCGCGGGCCACAATGGGTTCTAAAATTTGACAGAGGGGCCGGGCCAGGAGCATTTGGATGGAGTGTTTGGGCCGGACATACTAAAGCATTACATGTAGTGTGTGCAAACCTCATAGCACAGTAAGAACACTACAACCCAATTTATTAACTGTCTTTCAAATGTGAAAAATAGCCCTTATCAGTTAATAAGTTTGTCTCAAGGAATATGCAAGATATGGCGTTTACATACTATTTTGCACGATACTGGGAGGAGGAAATGTAAATAGATTAAAATAGCATACGCACTGTGATTTATCAAGATTGCGTCTGTTTTTAATAAGTTTTAATCGAAGGTGCAAAGTTAAAGAAATCAACATTTATTGAAAAATGGAATCACTTTCAACATTCAAAACATATTATTACACAACAAAATACTCAAGCTCAATAATATATACTTGTGTTAAACCCCGCAAAATCATGGATGGATTGTCCTGACCGCGCGCTCTACAAACTCGCCACGGACGCCCTCACCTTACAGTACACGTGTATCGTTGCCAAGCACACAGACATAGGCTGTATTAAATATCCTACCTGCAGCTGAAAATTGAAATTGAAATTAAGAGCGATGTGCGGTGTGTTAATTAAGCTACTGTACCGCTGCTGTGCGTAAATGCGCATTGCTCTTAATTAAAAGACGCACTTCCAAACT